TCTGGAATTGTTTTTATACAATGAGGTGTTGGCTTCATCTTGTTTACAAGTACTTTTATCTTGTAGATTTTCCAAATAGACCTGTTATTGTATGTTGCATTCTCAGATAGTACTGATGAGCATCTGTAAAAATTCTGTGAGGAAAGTACTACATAAAACCCAACATTTTTTATGTAGGTCGGTAATTAATAACACACCATATGCTGACTTCTCATCATAAGAATAATATTTTTTGTATGTCTAATGTTGGTAACTGGTGATGAAACAAGTGCTCTGTGTGGCTAAAAGTAAATTAGTGTATTGTTCAGATCTGTGACATATCTTATGTTGCAAATACACAATTCATGCTGCTGAATTTCCATGGCAAGTGTTGGAATGAGGTGATCTGTAAGGTCTTTTCTAACCCAAATGATTCTGTGGTCCTATATATGTTACGCTGTGGTTCCAGACTCTCTGAAAACCAGAATTAAAAAGAAAAAAAAAAAGAAAGTATTACTCATGTGGCAAGATAAAGATGCGTGCAAGAGCAGCATTTGCTGTTACTCTTCTACATCTCAAATTAAATGTAACACCATATTAGTGGATGTTCCTTTGACCAAATCGCTTGTAACTATTAGAGTGTGGGCTGTCATTTTATGGAGATGAATTACACTGGGCAGTGTAAGTCAGTGTGCCCCCAACAGCTGCACCTGGGAAAGCAGCAGATACCTCCATCTCAGCCCCCATGCACACATCAGCTTTCTCAGTCCTTTTTGACTGAGCATGTGTTTAGCTCCTAAAAAAGAAGCAATATTTTACTTATCCCTATTAAAGCTTTACAGATAACTCCCTCAACAGTTCTCACTGGAGTTTTTATCTTGTTGTTCCATTAGAAATTTTCAGAAGCTGCAAATGCGCATCCAGGTAAAAAAGGCCCAGAATCTTGTCATGAGCTTCCCACTAAGCTGAAAATACTGCAGACCAGCAAATACCAAAGCTTGCCTGTTAAATTTTTTTTTATTGGTGATGCTTTAGTAATAATGTACAAATAGAATAGTGATGGCATAACTTCAGTGTTTCAATTAAGAGTTTTAAGCATTTCATCAGTAATCTTTGCAGCTCCTCAGACAGCCATGTAATCTTACAGTTGAATACACTGAAGATGATAGTTTGAAAAGTTTTCTTTAGGTGTTTTTGCTGATTTCTTGATTGTTGCAGTACAACTACAGTGAAAGCAGTCTGTGGTTATTTAATGTATACAAGATAAAAGCAAGTTTTTACAACTATGTTGTGGTCTTCAAAACAGAGCAATACAACCCAGCTTCTTCTGTAATACTTCATGGGGAAGAGTGAATCATGAATTACTGTGTAATTGGCAACATTAATTCTCTAATGTGACTTTTTATGATGTATGCCTGTTCCAGTGAGTGCTGCTCTGAATGGTAGCCACTTAGCTGTCAAAATTTTGGCAGTAGCTCTAGAAAATCCTGTAAAAATTGAAAGAAACTACCTCTCATCTAATGAGGAGGAGGAGGATGCAGCCACTGAGCTGAATTTACCATTGTAGCATATTAATATCTTGCAGAATTTTAAGGTATCATTCCATGAAACAGTCCTTCTCGCCTGCTGTCCCATAATATAGCATGGTCTGAAAAAGAGATAGATAGTCTTTTTCTGAATAAGAAGAAACAACTGGGTAGTGGTTCCTGGCCCTTCGATGATTTGCTGTGAACCGTAAGATAAAAATCTGTTCCATAAAGATGCCATTTGATTGTTTTGGTGGTCCTTCTCTTTTTCCAGTAAGACCAATGCACCTTAAAAGCATTCAGAAATGTAACAGGCATCTTATTTCTCTGAAAGCAAGGTACCTCCAAAAATTTTTGTCAAACTTCAGATAAAAATTTTTCTGGTGTAAGACAGCAAACTATAGATTTGAAAGAAAATCTGGTAAGGATAACATGTGCACAGATATTAAGATGAGTGATTTTTCTTCATGGCTTACAAAATGCTGAGTCAGTTGGTATCTTATTTTTGTTTCAAAGATGAGATATATTAAAGAAATCTCAGTAGTATTTCTGAAGTACATTTACTATTGAGGAATCTGATAAAGTGTGTCAATGTACTGTAGATTTTGTTTATCTGTAGAATTGGCAAATTTTTTATTTCCTTACTGAAGAATGGGATATAAAATATCATTGAGTTGGTTAGGACAGTTTCTTGTTTCATTACTAGAGCTACTTTGGAGACGTGCTGACTGTAATTAGTATTGATACCCTTCCATAGTGTTCCTCAAATTGTAGTTGCAGTTTAAAGAAAAAAATTTTTGGTGGTTTTTTGTTTGTTTGTTTTGTTAGGTTATTGTTGCCCCACCTTTTCCTGGTTGCTCACAGTCATATTGCTTCTGTCAGTCCTAGGGAATTTTCAGGAATTTTTTACTGTGTTTTTTAGACTGTCCACAGTAGATAAGAGCTTTATGGGGTCTTTAGAAGCACTGAGCCTGGCAGGTGAAGATAAAGAGCTTACATGACATGTTGCCCTGTGGAAGCCACTCTAGAAGGCTTGTTGTGCTGTTGGTACTGTGTGCTTTGTATCAGCCCAGCATTCTGAAGAGCTGATGTGGTGGTGTGCCCAGATACCAAGCAAACCATAGTGCTCCAGACGTGCTCTCCTAAAGCAGCTAAACACAGTTCTGATGGTGCCAAGATTTGAAAATACAGCATCATTGCATTACAAAATGGACTATGTTTATCAGTGCAACTGATACTCGTTAATTTTGCCACATTTTGTAAAGCTTTGGTAACTTAAGTTTTACCAAATTATATCATTAATTTTGAAAAATCCTGCGTAAATAAACCTCTCAACGAAGTAATGTTGTCATTGTTAATTTTTTTCTGAAGGATTCTAGTCTTTTCTTCCTAGCACCTGCAAGAGCTGTAGAAGACGTTATGAATAGAAGCTGAGCAATGGCTCACAGTGAGCAATGTACAATCTGTTAAGTGTTGCTGTCTTTTATTGCTGTGTTATAAGTGATTTGGACTGTAAGGAAATGAGAAGCTATCTGCCAGGAAAACGAACAATTCTAAAAGGCTGAGAGTGGTTCTGTCCACTCTGAGGAGGACAAACATCCAGAACAGCCTGGCTATGGATGCTCCACAGAGCAGTTGGTTTCCTATGGATTTGTATGACCTTGTCGGTTGAAAATGCAGTTGGTTAGTTGGGATTCCTTTAGACACTGATTCTGGGGGCAAAAAAGTGTCACTTAATACACCATTCTGGCAGCTGCAGCATAAGTGTGGAACCAGAGGTTTATGTTGTGCATCAGTAGCAGGAGAACATGGAGATGTTTATTAAGCAGAGTCTTTTATGGGAGCATCTGAGCAATGGTTCCTATGGATTTGTATGACCTTGTCGCTTGAAAACGCAGTTGGTTAGTTGGCATTCCTTTAGACACTCTGATTCTGGGGGCAAAAAAAGTGTCACTTAATACACCATTCTGGCAGCTGCAGCATAAGTGTGGAACCAGAGGTTTATGTTGTGCATCAGTAGCAGGAGAACATGGAGATGTTTATTAAGCAGAGTCTTTTATGGGAGCATCTGAGCAATGTGTGGGAAGGAGTGCACTTCCTTACTGGTACCTCACAGACTTCTCTGCTTTCAAGGAGGGCTTATTAGGGTGAGCTGTGCCCAGACACAGCTTTTTGGTTTTTTTGAAGGAAACTCATAGGCTTGTTCTAAAAGAGAGCCTAGGAGTGAGCTTCAGCTCAGTGTGCATGTTCAAGGCAACAGATTATTGGAATGAATTGGAATTCATACCTTCATAATTCATACCTTATGAGGGTATTTTTAAGTAAAAGCTGAGAGGTTGAATTTATGAGGCTTTTTTGAGGATTATTGTGATCCCACATTTTTGATACCAGAACTCTAATGAAGAACTATTTAATTCAGATACATTATCTACCTTGCATGGCACTGTGTGACTGAGTGGTTCCACTTGCATTAACAAGGATTACTTGGATTTTAAAAGTTTGAATTTTGTGTAGAAACCCTGTTTCTCCTGTAGATATCATGTTCCTTCAACAGTAGGGAAACATCAGATGACAGAAGAGGTTTCTTGGCACAGGATTGTAGCAGTTTCTGGTTTTGTGTTTGTCTTTAAGGAACTGTCATAAGGGAGCTGCGTATGCTGTTTATAAAGATAAGACAATAAGGGGTTTCAGTTTGGTAACTTATGTATTCCAAAAGCTAAGTGAAGACGTTTTGTAAGCTTAAGAAAACTGTATTTCTCAGAGAATACAAGACTGAGCAATTTGTTTATCTAGCGTTATATTGTTAATACTCTTAACTGAAGGTTAACTTTGTACTTTATGGATTTTAGTCTGCTTTAATGCTTGTAGTAATCCAGTTGCTTTTCCTTCACCCTACCCCCTGACTACCAGACACTGCCATGATATGTTATACTCAACCATTATATGTTAAGAGACTATCCCACTACTATTCACGTCACAGTTGCAGCATTTATTTTGTCTGTGCTTAAGAGATCTTCCTCTATTTTCTTTCTCAGAAACTGAGTTTTAACTGTTGCAGCCCATGGCATCAGTTTATAAAGTCATGATTTTAAAGAAATCTAATGTCGTGGAGCTTGGTCATTAAATACTTAAGTAAAGGACACTATGAAGATTTTGAGGGAGAAAATTCTTTTGTCTACATTTCAGAGTTTATTTGAATGTTTCTTTAATGTCATTTTTACTGCTAGATAGCATTTTTCTAAAAAACAAACCTGATCCTCACACTGTTCCAGGCATTGTATGGTTTGTTTGTGTGCTTTAATGAGAAGGAAGTGAACATGAAATTATTCTGCTTTGGAACTGTTAGTATATCTTTTCACCCACTCTCTCTGTTTGAAAAAAAGATAAAAATTATTTTAGCCACTACTACATAGTTCTGAGAATTATGTTGTTCTCTTGTTGTCATTCAGCATACGTTGTAGGGGTGTTTATACCATCTCTGCTTATTTTTTTCAGTGCAATGCGCGTGTTGTTGTCCAAGTTACCACGACCGTGGATTGTTGATGAGAAAAAAGATGATGGTTACACTGCCTTACATCTGGCAGCTCTTAATAATCATGTGGAAGTGGCTGAACTTTTGGTGCATCAGGTAGGACTCTTTTCTCAGAAGGATTTAAATGTCATGCTTTGGTTAACCATCTGATGTGAAAATAGTTGGCTGCTTTACGCCTGCAGTCGCAATGCAGAAGCAGTGGAGGAGGGAAGGACGTGTTGAGCTTTTAAAGGTCAAATTTGCCTTTGAGATTGTTACAATGGTCTAATGGTGCAGAGGGACTGAAAAATTGGATACCTAGTTTCATTCAACAGATCAACATCTGTACAGTGAATAATTGAAGTATTTAATCACTTTTGTTCTCAAATCCCCTAACTAGGAACTGTATTCGGGGTCATAGTCAGTGTCCTAATGGACTGCCTTGTCTGTAGATAAATTGCTGGGGTGATAATGCTCTAATGTTTTGAATATCTTGCAGGGCAATGCTAACCTGGATATCCAGAATGTTAACCAGCAAACTGCTCTTCATCTTGCTGTTGAAAGACAGCATACACAAATTGTTAGGGTAAGTATCTGATTTGCAGTAAGCCATATGGTTAATGGCATTTGACCGAAGCTGATGGTGGCTGTTAAAATATGAATACTTCATGAACATTTAAAAAAAATATTTGACAACATATAGTCAGTGCATGTTTGTTTGATTGGATTTTGTTTAATTCAGAAGCTTGCCAACTTGCACAGAAGGTCAGTCAGCAATATGAACGCCACTTGAGGCATGCTAAATTTTTGTACATGTACATTATGGTTTCCTCTGTGTGGTTGCCAATTCCAGCATCCCTTCTTGTTTAGTAAGGAAGAATGTGTTCGGCTGTTACTTGTCTGAATCTTGTGGTGCTGTAAGGGGATCTTCAAATAGCATTTCTGATGCCTCCTGCAGTATGAGTAATTGTTCTTGCTCATGGCTTTTGCAAATTGTAGCACAAAACATCTTTTATGATCTAAACTACTTTTCTGTCTCTGAGTGTTTGCCATTCCCTGCTCTTAGCTTGGGAGACCTATAAGCAGTGAACCATATTGGTGAAAGGAATGCTATCCTGGTTTTTTGCTTGCATGGTTTCAAAAGTGAATGCTTCAACTTAACAAAGCTTTGTTGCTAGCACAGGAAGTGTGATGAGTCTGGCATAGCTTGCTGTTTCTGGCCTGTGTGCACTGTCATAGAGGACCTGTGTGACTGTTTGCCTTGCTGCTGTGGGCTTTTGAGGCTCAGAGAGAGCACTCGCTGCTCTCCAAGTGAATACATCAACCTGGCCTTGGCCTTTGATGTAATATTTTTTTCTTTTTAGAGTCTCCTTGTATGAAAAACTGTCTCTTATTCAGGCCTACACAGAATTGTCCCCCCTATGCAGACCTGCATTCTGTTAAGCGTTATTTAGCCATAAGGTTTCTCCCTCTCTGAGGGCTGAAGGGTGTGATCCCGTTACAGTGAAACATGTGATATGGCCCTATATCTGGAACTGCTTGCTACCAGAAGAATGGTTTCCTAGAGTCAGTGCCACTTGCATCCTGCAAGCTATTTGGCAGCTGTGTTTGGTGAACTCTTGTGCCCTTCTGGAATTTACACAGCACCTGGGAATACACTATTAATGTAGCAGATGAGCAGGAAGGTAGGCATGTAGCAGAACTGGCATGTGTGTTTCACTGACATGCTTATAGCTGAGAATGTTTAAGTGAATGACCCCATAGAATATCTGTTTTTTCAGAACTGGATTAACTTTAAGAAGTCCTAAAATAGCTCATGCAGCCATGCAAAGAACATGTTGGCTCCATATTTCAGAACTAATTCCTATTGGATACCTTCCAGGGCTGGGTTTGTACCCTCAGGCATTTGTGGAATAGTGGTCAAAGGTAGCATGGTTCTTTTAAAAGTCCTACTGCCATGACAAAGGGCAGTGGTTTGCCCTTTTTTTTAAATTATTTTTTTAAGCTTCTGCAAAGATACTGAAGTTCTGTGGTAGTCAAGGATTCTAGGAGGAGCTCAAAGCAGTAAAGAGCTAGTGGCAGACACAAGATATGAATATGAGAAAATAAATTGGTCCAGAGTAAATCCATTTAGAGAGTGTAAGAAGTTGAGACTAAACTGTGTCAACTATTAGCTGGTTTTCTTGGTTTCACTTGTGGAAGAGAAGGTTGGGGAAAATGATAAGCTGCAAATAATTGCAGGCAGATACTTCCTTGAAAGTTGGGCTTTGAATTCCTTTTAGCCTGTTCTGAAGTCTGAGGTTCTTTGGTTCTGAGAAACTGCAACTCCTTGCAAGCATGTGGGTTCCAAATAGGGAGATCCCTCTTTGTATATTCCTGTTTTTAGATTATGCCTTTTGTCTCTACTGCTAATCCCAATTTTGCAGAGTAGCAGAACCTTAAAAACTGAAGTTAAAACCTCAGAAACCTCAGCTGCTGCCTACAGGTTTCTGAATGGCAACAGTGATGGGATTTAATTTTTAGGGGCAGTTGGTATTTTTTTGTTAGCATGTGTTGCTTTGTTTTTTTTCAACGGTGTATTTAAGAAATTCTGGTGGGTTGAATTATAGAAGGGCTGTATGCAAAGGCCATAGGAACAGGAGGGCCTGTGCAGCCTTGTGCTTGTTTTGTGTCATGTGAACAGGAACGGGTGTCTAAAATTAGCCTTAGAGACAAGTCTTACAGTTCATTACTTTCCAAAGTGTTCTGAGAGTTTTTAATAGTGTCATTGGTTTTTATGTCTTCTCCTGAATTAGGGTAAACCAAAGTACATGCTTAACTACTTAGCTAATGTGAGGACACTGTAAATTAAGTTGTAAAGTTTAGTATGATGTGAAAGTGGTGATTTTTGAGGTCATTGAAACCTAATAGTAAAGAATATATACCTATCTCAAGTATTGTACATATTGCTGTAATAAATTACATTGTTTGTAGGCTGTCTTATAAGAATTAAAGTCTAAGGAAGTAGGAAGGATCCTCTAAAATTATGTCTTTTGTAGCATTCAGAGCACAAGCAAGCATTAACCTTCTGCTGAAATAAGCTTGATATTTGAGACAGATAAATGCTTTGGTTGAGAGCTGAGCTCCAGGCAAGGAAAATAAATTTAAATTAATTCAACTGTGAATTGTAGCAAGATAGGAGTAGCCCTTTTGAACCTCCTAGAGAATCCTAAACCATAATTTTCTGAAATTAATTCGAAAAGGGGAATTTGTTTTTTAATGTGGGTTTTCTCTCTTTTCAGCTCTTAGTCCGTGCAGGTGCTAAATTGGATATTCAGGATAAAGATGGGGATACTCCCCTGCATGAAGCCCTGAGACACCACACCCTGTCACAGCTCCGCCAGCTCCAAGACATGCAAGATGTGGGCAAGGTAGATACTGCTTGGGAGCCATCAAAGAACACAGTAAATAAAACACATTTATTTATTCTTTTTTTTCCCCCCTGCATATTTGTCTCTTTGTCTACTTCTGTACTGTTGGACTGTGTTTTGGCAGCATAAGTTTATGTAGACATTCTGCATTAAACTGCAGTGTAGGCAGAAATCATATTGTTCTCTGTGGCTTTTCGTATGAAGTCATTACCTTGTTTGAAGAAAGAGGATTATGTAGCTCAAAAATATTTCTACGATTTTATCTTCTGTAGTAACATGTATGGCTGCCAAAAAATCAAAGAAGCTTTTTTGAAAAGAAACTTAAACAGTATTACAGTACAGAGTAAGACTGAAATAGTTTTCTGTGATTCAGCATCTTGCATGTCTTTGTAACTTTAGTTGCTTGGCTGCTTCTCTTACTTTCTGAAAGTGTGTTCTATTAGAACAAGGCAATGTTAATTTTGTGTGTTTATTGATATATAAATTTTTGCCAGAGTTCACTTCAGAAATTGTGCTGTAGTAAGGAAATAGTCAAAAAGCCTCCAGGTAATAAAAGTCAATGTTTTACTGAAAAAAAGAAACTCTGACACCCAAAAAGCTGTGTGAACCCCATATTTAGAGGTGAAGTTTATAGCTTACCTGAGACAAAGGAGAAATAAAATTATGGAGCAATTTTTTTTTAGCTATTAAAGATGCACAACATAATAGTGTATCAGAGCTGCTGAACCATTAGTTAACAGTATAATTTTTTTTCTAATTTTAACTGAGGGTTAAAATTAGAAATTTTTTGTTGTTGTTTTTGCATTTCATTAAGAAAAAATAAGTACACCAACTTTATAAAAAGTCTTTGTTCAAAGCAATAATTCCACTGTACAATTATTTTTTTTCAAATTGGTTACGGAATCTCGCTGAAATACACTGGAATAAGCTTTGAAAGAGATTTAAAATGTGACAAGCATGTGTAACAAAATGCATGTATCCTTGTAAATGAGACAAGAAGAGCGGTTACAGCTCAGTTGTTTCTGTGATCTGAAATGGACTCTATGAGAGCTGTCTAGAATACTTTGTTTTCATGTGTTTAACTGTGAAATGAATGGAAGGGAATTTTTTTTCGTCAGATTCGGCATTTTGTAAATTGTTTTCTCTGCCCAGTCTTATTAACCCTAACCCTCCACAATGAAACTGGAGTTCTGCATTTTGAGTTTTGGGGGTTTATAACAGAGGAAGCGGATTTATTTTCCATCACCTTTTAAACGTCTCTTCAGGGATATTTTATATTTTAGAGACTAAAGTTGCGTTTCTAGTTTCCTTTGACAAGTATCCTTGGTTTAAAACAAGTGTAATTTAAACAAAAATTCTATTGAAGCAATAAGATAAAGAGCAGGCAAAAGATATGAGAAACAAATTTCAAAATTCTCTCATCATTGTGTCTCTAATCACCTAAAAATGTTTTAAAATCTAAAAAAAATAATAATCAACCAATATTTCCTCTCCTTTATTAGCGTGATCAAACTACTGGCCATTTCTTTGCACTTTGTTTAGCTGCAGAGAGAATTTTTGCCTAACAAATTTGGGAGGTTTAAGTGGAAAAGAATAAGTTCTGGCAGAGAAGAGATGAAAACAGGCTTGTTTTTATTTTATGTGAAATGTAAAAGATGGAGTAAATATACCTGAAAATGCTTTAAGATAATCAGCAAATCAAATTATCTTAAAAATGTTTTGTGAAAAACAGAAAATGAGAACAAAAAAAAGCCTGTACGTATCTACCTTTATTTAAATGATGGTAAGGTAAAAACACTGTAAGCTAGATTTTACCATTAAACGGTTTTAAATATTAAGCTGTCTTTCGTCCAAAAATGAGTATCAACAGAGACAGAATTGAAGCTGTGAAAATATGTGCAGGCATCTGGACCTTTAAAGCTATCCAAGGACACATTGGGAATTTGTCTTGTGTGGAATTGTAAATACAGATGATGGATAATAGATACTATATAGGATTAAAAGTTTTGCCTGGGAATCAGTAAGTTTTTCTTTTTTTAAATGTGATTACTTAAATTGAGGGTTTGTGTTGAGAGATTTTTTTATTCTTCTTCATTAATTTCTTTAAAGGTTGCAAAATGTGTCAGATTTCATTAGGCAATGTGATAGCAACACATCTCTGTAAATATTTTGTTTTTAGAGCTCATTTTTGCCTGGCTAAATTTTAATTAGTTTTGGACTGCTGTCTTGGAGATTCCAACCTACTGAGGCCTGTAGGGTGCCTCTTTGTAGTACATACATACATAGTAGAAATAATTATTTCTATTTTTGTTTCAGTTGAGTAAACTGAAAAGAAAAATCTTGCTCACAGGATTTTAGGGTTTTTTCATACTTGATCAAATTGGTTGGACAGCAACTCTTGTATGATGTGTTACTTTTTACTTTGACCACTGTTTAAAATACAAAACAATACTTTTTACTGATTATCATTCACTTAATTCATAAGTGGAACTAAACTGAATGAATTCTTTAACATTGATTTTTTAGTAATTCCTTCTGAATGCCAACATTATGCCTGTTGGAACAGGCTCCCCAGGGAAGTGGTCACAGCACCAAGCCTGCCAGAGTTCAAGAAGCTTTTTTATAATGATCTCAGGCACCTGGTGCTAATCTTGGGGCTGACCTGTGCAGGGCCAGGAGCCGAACTTGATGATCCTTGTGAATTCCTTCCAACTCAGGATATATTATGTTCTACATAAAACAATTTTTGTCAGGTTTCTCCAGTTGATTTTTTAATAGACTGTTTAAAATGCATGTAGTGAGCAATCTTGACAGTACACAAAGCCCTACTTATTTTAGGTACTATTCTGAAAAACGTCTCTGTGCTCAAGTCCTATGAGCAGCAAGCCCCATTTCTTTAATTGTTAACTTTTCCATCCACCATATTGTGGTAATTGTGCAGCTTGGAAGAGGAGAAATTTTCTGAAGTATAGTTTCCACCACCACAAAAAAGTCATTTGAATTGCTTTATTACACTGTTCTGGCCTAGAGCACTTTTTATCCTAAATAATTGTATTATTCCCAGGGTAATTTTGTCATTTATTTTAATATACAAGTGTCTTTAAGGTGTCTTTCTGACCCTTAAAATGCTTTTAAGTGATATTACTGCCTAAATCCTAACTTGAAAGAAATAAACTAATGGAAAGTGTTTACTGCTTCAAAGTTACAATTACTTAGATGATATTTATACATTTTTTTGTGGATTGCACTGGGACTTCTCCCTCACTGGTGAATTGGCTGGGACTGGAGCACATCTCTACTTTGTTTCAGCCAGTGCTTTAATTGAAGTGCAGAAAAATGGTCTCAGTTGATAAATGAAAATTTTCTGTTATCTGAACACCACACAATAATTTGTTTCCCTAACTAACTGATTTTCCTGGTGATAAAGTCTTTGGAGCTGTACTGTTCTTACCTAAAATCATGAGGAAGAATGCAGGAGGAGTATCTGAATTCATGAAGTGACCTTCAAGAGTCTTGCTGCCTCAGTGATACATATTGATATAAGAACTTCTAATTTAAAAAAACCCAAAACATATAGACTGAGGTTTAAAAAAATGCTTCCCTAAGTGGCTGGGTTTCCTTGAGTTGGGGCTGCCCTAGCTTTGCCAAAGCTCTTCCTTTGAATACAGTGTAGTGTAGTTTGAGGGATTCTTAGTGATGCAGCAGTTCTGTAGTCTGTATTATACTTAATGCATTTCATCTGATCAAGCTTTAATGCACAAAGATGTTGGGAGCCCAGAATGCTCTGGGGAATCCACTCCTTGCTGGGCTGTGGCAGTGAGCCTTCTTAGTGTTTCTAGCTGACCCTGTGGAGCAGTAACACAAGGATACAGTAACCACTGTAAAAGGGCAGAGTAGCATTATGTGATTAGATAGGGACGGTGTGCAGGTTTTAGTCCATCCAGGCTGAGAGAGACTGAAATGCAGTTACTTTCTTGGGCAGGTACTTTACTTGCTGGACTAAAAGTAGATGTGCATTCATTTCTCTGCTCAGCTGTGATTTCAGTCCGAGTGTGGTGGTAGCATTTTGTCTGAATTGAGCAATTTGAGTATGTACTGAAGTGTTCTCTGAATATACCCACTGGAACTTTGCCCTTTACAGTGCTTACATAGAAGGACAGCCACTTCACACGTGAGTATAGGTGTACAGGAGATTGAGTGCTTCAGTAGAACTATTCCTTGCTGAATTTTAGTTCCTTAAAGGAAAGCTGAGTTTAGCTGACTCAGAATGAAGCAATTGTTTTGATTTTAGTTCTAGAGACGCTTCCTTTGGCTTACACATTTATGTGTGTGTGTGCATGTCAAGTAGCTTTCCTTTAGCCAGACTATTCTTAACTGTTTAGAGAGTCTTTCTTGCTTACATATTTGTTTTCTTTCAGTTAATAATGGGACTTGGCACTCAAGGAGCAGAGAAGAAGAGTGCTGCATCTATTGCCTGCTTCCTGGCAGCCAACGGGGCTGACCTCGGCATTCGTAACAAGAAGGGTCAGTCCCCTCTCGATCTCTGCCCTGATCCAAGTCTCTGCAAAGCACTGGCTAAATGTCACAAAGAAAAAGTCAGGTTTGTATATTCATAAAATACACAGTTTCCAAAGGTCTCCTTTCCACAGATTAACTGATTTTTTTTTTTTAATGTTGAGCCTTTAATTAGCAATGCTAATTAAAACATACAGATCTGGGGATTTGGTGTGCTTTTTGAATGGGTTTTTTTTTTACTTTTAATTCTTTAGGATTTTGTGGCCCATTGAATTCTATTCACAAATACATTAATTGAAACTTACCCAAGTGTTAGAGGATTTTCATGCATATTAATATGGGAGAGGGCAGAATGGGAAGGTAACAATCTTCAGGAGGGGATTGGTAGAACTTCATAAGGCAGTCGGGGGAAAATCCCTGGAAGAATAACTAAGCATTGCAAACAGGTTGGCCTGGGAAGTTGTGAAATCTGTCCATACAACTTTTAATAACTGAAATGGGCAAAGCCTGGTATAAACTGATACGAAATCACTGTTTGGGAATATCATCTTTGGGAAGGTCACCTGCGTGCCTGTTAATCTGAAAAACTGTATGATTCTGTGAAAAGAAAATGTGGAGGTAGGTCTGATGTCTTTAGGAATTACAGTTTCAGTGAAATACCACGTTATCAGGTCCACACGGTATCAGAGGATTCACCTTGTCCTAGTTACATTCCACCCATTGCCACAAATAATTCTCATCTTTAATTCCTGTATGGAATTAAAAATGTATGGAATCAAAACTGTGCTCTCAAAATGCGACAGAGAGACTGTTTTTATTGATGCTGCCCTGGTAAAGCGCTGGTTTCCTTTCCCAGCCTGTGTGTCCGTGCGTCCCGGCCCCAGCCGCGGCGGGAGCGGCCCCGCGCGCCCTCTGCGGGCCAGCGCAGCGCCGGGCTCCGGCCGGGCCGCGGGCTGCGACTGCCCTTCACGGGGCACCGCTCTGGTAGTGGAGCAGGCTCTTAGGGCGAGAGGGAGGGACTTTTTGTGCGTCCTGTTTCTGTACAATGCCTTGTCTGACCGTTCACAGCACGATATCCTGACTTTGTGTCCTGTTTCTGTACAATGCCTTGTCTGACTGTGTAACCTTGCGCTGCAGTGCCGACTGTAGTTCTTGGAAAAGGCAGTTCAGATCGCTCTGTGATCATACACTGATGCTTGAGTGCGTAGGAGTATATAAGCAGCCAGTTGATAAGCATTTTAAATTGAGTGGGGTTTTTTTAATTATTAAAAGTTTGACTTCAAGGTTTCTTTGTAGTGGCCAGGTTGGTTCCCGAAGTCCATCTATGATCAACAATGATTCTGAAACCTTAGAAGAATGTATGGTGTGCTCAGACATGAAGAGAGACACTCTGTTTGGCCCGTGTGGCCACATTGCCACCTGTTCTTTATGTTCACCACGGGTGAAAAAATGCCTCATCTGTAAAGAACAAGTTCAGTCTAGGACAAAGGTAAAAACCTCTGAAATTTATTGGTTTTCTTTCTTTTATAATGGAAAAGTAAAAAAAAAAAAAAAAAGGGAAAAAGAGGTCAAGGAGATATACATCTTTTATGTGGTATTATGATTTACACATGTCTCACTGGATAGAATTAATTTTGCATCATAATGATATCTTGCTCTTTTCTGTTTGCCTGTCATGCCTACCTTTCCCTGCCTTGCAATGTCTTCATTATTCAGGCCCTCAGAGTTCCTAATACAGTCACCTGAGGATGCTTTATTGAAATAGACTATTTCCCCCCTGCCATGGTATCTTTTCCTCATGTTAAGATAAACTGCTGTTTTTTCTGAAGTATAATTTCCCTCAGTAATATTGAGCTCTTCTATTCCTTAGGGCTGCTTGAAAGATGATTTGCCTGTAAACTGAGTTAATATGCGCTTGTTTCTCTAGTTAATAATTACTTTCAGCTTTCACCTTTTTCTTTGGAAACACGAGTTTCATTATACTGTCTTTTTCCTTCAGAGAAGCAGCTAGTCATGCCCTATTTTAGACATCAAGATTTCTCAAATGGTTACCCACAAGTAGTTTTGAGTGTATGGGTACCTCCCCATTGGTTTTCTGTTTAAGTATTCTTTTATTCCTTGTAATCACCAAGTCTTGTCCTGTTTTTTTTTAGCTGTTAAAAAAAGAAATAATGTTCTGCACTTGGATTTATGTTTGGTTTTGGATTGGTTTAGGGTTTTTTTTTGTTTGGTTTCTTTTTGGAAACCCAACTGTTCGTTTTTTGGGGGATTTTTTTTACTTTATCCAAACAGATTTGATTAGTCTGCTTCTGTAGTATGTTGTTTTTTCCTCCATCTTTGAGTAAGCATAATAATTGTAAATATAAAGTTGCACTGTTTTTACTACTCACTCTTTTATTCTTCTTATACTATTTGCTGTTCTGCATTGTGTATGTTCAAAAGCCAAATGTTAACATAGAGGGAGCTCCTTTTCTCTAGACCTCCTTATAGTCAGTGAAAGGGTTCTGCCACTGAGTGATTTGGAGCAGCAAAGTGAGGGTTCTGCCCCTACTCATCCATCTAAAACAGCTAATCTGTGGAAATCTGCTTTCCCAAGTAAAAGCTAAGCTTTGTGGATAGCCTTCCTTTGATTTCTTTTGCTCAGTTAGTTTGAGAGATTGGAATATCTGGTCAATACTTCCCTTATACTTGTCTGTATAAAAACTTAGAGTAGTATCTGCAAGGCCAAGAAGTTAATTAATCAGGAGAACAGTTCTATGAAGTGGAAGAGGTGGTCCAGGCCAGTATAAATGGAATTGTATGTGGTGTCTATGATCATACTGTATATGCCCATCCCTGGCAGTGTTCAAGGCCAGGTTGGATGGGGCCCTGAGTAAACTCATCTAATAGAAGGTGTCCCTGCTCATGGCAAGGGTTGGAACTGGAGGATCTCTAAGGTCCTTTCCAACCCAAACCATTTGATGATTCTACCCTATATAGAGCTCTCACGCAAAGGGACTTGAGAAACCCTGACCCAGAATATTAAAATATTTCTGTAAAAGTACCTTTTAAGTGAATTTCTTAGTATCATAGAATGTTGGAAAGGGCCTTTAAAATCAGTAGCATGACTGACATCTAATACCATGCAATGAGCAGGGACATCTTCAACGAGATCATGTTGCTCAGAGCCCTGTCCAGCCTGACTGTGATCGTTTCCAGGGGTGGATCATCTACCACCACTCTGGGTAACCCATTCCAGTGTTTCATGACTCTTATCATAAAAAATCTTTCTTTTACCAAACTGACTTTCTTTTAGTCTAAAACTATTACTCCCTGTACTACTGCAACAGGACCAGCAAAAATATTTGTTCCCATCTTTCTTATAAGTCCCCTCTGAGTACAGAAAGGCTGTAATAACATCTTCCTGGAGACTCTCTTCTTCAGACTGATCAACCCTGATTTAAGTATCTGCAATGGAATAAAGGAGAAAAGAAAAATAAATTTATGGTGTCCTAAATGCTTCTCTTTGCCTGTCATTGTACTGAATGTGTAAAAATTGCCAGCAAATATCTGTTCTTAGGAGTTAGTGTGATAACTCATTTAAGTTTCATTTTGAGATGCTGAATTAGTTAAAAATCCTACTAGAAGGAGATTCTTGAAGCCCATGTGCCTTGCAAATTAATGTAGAGATCCAGAGATGCTCTTTGCTCATGTCTGTGTGTGTTGTCTTTACAGATTGAAGAATGTGTCGTATGTTCAGACAAAAAGGCAGCAGTGCTCTTCCAGCCTTGTGGTCATATGTGTGCCTGTGAGAGTAAGTAACTTTACAAAACCTTTTTTGGAAGTAATTGTGAAACAGAATGTTTTTTCATCAGACTGCTAAAACCATTAGCAAGTGTGTGTGTGTGTCATGTGTCCGTCTTAACAGTGACAATTTTGATTTGTAATTTGAAATCAGTAATCTGATTTCAGGTTTGATTTACTTGGTAGTCTGGTGTGATTTTCAGAATTTTGGCATTATTTGTCATGCTGATAATTGGAGGACAAAGTGGAGATTTTAAAATATTTAGAAAGCGTGTGCTCTTTTATCTGAATTATTTAACTGAGTAGGCTTTCTCACATTATAGAAGCCTACTGTAGATCATTAATACTTGGTAGTAATTAGAATTAATTTTGTTGTTTTGTTGCAGCTTTTTCAAGGCATTCAGATATGCAAATGGTGTTTTAAAAAAATATCATCAATAAATACTTAGTATGCTTCATTACTGATCTACAGATTTGCACAAGGGTTGTATTTTGCTCCAAAAGTCACATCATATATCTTTGCAAAGAGCACCAGTTATGGTTTGTTTTATCTTGTGTAATGGTAAAATAGGTAGGCAAGCCTTGAAATTTTTTGGTTTTGAGTATATGTGGATGAGAATGGAGCTATCACCTTGTCTCCAGACATTTCAGGGTTTTGTTGAAGGGTCATTTCTGTAGAGAAGATCAGTCCTTATTGATGAGGATCTACACAAGAGGGAAAGTAATCGTTCCTATGAGTAACTGCTTACTTGGACTTGCTAAAGAAGTCTGGTTTCATCCTCTGTTCTGGCTGAGGCAGCTGACATCAAACCACTCACTATAGTTAGCCTGATCTGGACTCTTTCACTGTCTGCAGTTGAAAGATGATGAGAGAAGTTTTTTTGAATCGTTTCCCAGGAAAGAAGACAACAAAAAGATTGATTACTGTGGTGAAGGATTTCAGCAGCGCAGTACATGTTTACCAAGTCTAAGCTGTAACAAGGACAGCAGAAGGTTTAACAGTTGTTGATTTTTTTCTTTCCAGATTTTTTTCTGGCCATCTTGTTCAAGCAGGATGAGAGAGTCTTCAAGTTTGTGTGTTTTGTAGGACCCACTCTCTTGATTCACAGTAACCTTGTAGCATTTATAAGACAATAACTTGCCTTTAGTTGAAAAATTACAGCCCCCTTTCTAGGATTATATCAAAAGATGTAGATTTACTCTTAAGGGTAAAGAGCTGCATCTCTTTGCCCCTGGAGCATTAGGACAGTGAGGATCCTTTGTTCTAAAGAAAAAAGCAGATAGCTGGGACATTCTTGGAAGTTCTGGTCTCAAATGTGTGATTGTCTTTTAACTTCTGTAATTCTTGTGGACTAGACATCCATATGGAGAAAGAGGAACCATTTGTTCCTCTGTTTGTTAATTTGAAATATCTTAAAAGGAGATAGAGAATAGATTTACTTTGAATCCCAAGCAGGACATTGTTTAGGTGTGATTTGCAGAAAATTATGTGAAGATAAACTCATGTAGTTCTTTGTATTATAAGTATCTGTTAAGTTATTGCTGTATAGGTACTCTGAATAAACAAACCCATGGACAGCAGAAAAGAAAAATAAAGTGGGAAGATTCAGAGTTTATTTATTTCTCTGTTCTCTCAGATTGTGCAAGCTTGATGAAGAAATGTGTACAGTGTCGGGCAGTGGTTGAGCGAAGAGTGCCTTTCATAATGTGCTGCGGAGGGAAAGGTACAGAAGATACCAGTGATGATATTTGTGAGTGACTCCAGAGCCCATACTCTTTCATGTTCCTCTGCCAACCTACTCTCATTTTCTTAAATGATCTAAATATTTCTCTCCTATCTGAAGAAAAGTTTGATGAAAACAGTGCTAACCCAGGTATCCTTTGCTGTTTGCACTACTTTCTGAATCAGCAGCAGCAACAAATGTGGTAACACCACTGGTCATTAATTACACTGGAGAGTTGCTTCTGGCATTTGGAGTAGAATCCAAAATGTGTGATGACTTGGCCACTTACTAATACCCTTAGAAGTAAAAGCTGAAGATTTTCTGTGATTGTGCAAATGAGCAAATACATATTTTTTTTAACTCTGGTACTCTGAAGTCATGGTAAGTATTTTGTATCTAGGTACAAGCAGCTTTCCTGAGAGAATGTCTAGTTTTACATCTCCTCCTTGACTAATTATTAAACTTCTTGTGACTTATTTGAGTAATTTCCATGAATTATTTGTATTTGCTCTGTGTGTGTATATTTGGTACACAGTATTTCAGTTGAATTTGAGAATTGAATATTAATATTGTCATGTTCTGAAATAGATAAATATAAAAGTAGTCATTAAAATCAGGTTTTTAATACTCACACTGGAAATTCAACACTTGACTATTTTTCTTTGATGTAGTAATATTGCTTCCCACATCAGTCAAATACAGGAATATTAATCTGAGCTTGTTCAAATTTTAAATGAACTACTTCCAAGGCACTTGGGCAATTTTGAACACCGAATGGAATCATCTCTGTAGATAAAAAAGTCATTTCAATGTGAAGGAATTTGGCTTTTTTTTCTTACATGTATGCAAAAAATATTTATGTCAGGAACTTCACTGACAAGAGTTCTGAGAACATTAAGGGACTACAAGCATCATTATTATGGAAATACTTGTCAAAGAAATGTTGCTACTAAACTCAAAGAAATTCTTTGTTGAGCTGTAATGAGGGTGTAGTGAATTTAATTAGATTATCAAAGATGGTTGACTAATATTTTTTTCAGATAATTGAAAAATTGTAGCTGTGACACTGGAAATAATTATTCCTGGTTCATTAGATTGCTGCATAATCACGTATCTTTATTTTCTTTTAATGTTACAGCAAGTGGAAACATTCCAGTTTTGCAGAAGGACAAAGACAACACTAATGTCAATGCAGATGTACAAAAGCTGCAGCAACAGTTGCAAGACATCAAGGAACAGGTAAAAGTGCTGGATAAGAATTGTAATAAACATTAAGTGCAAGAGCCACTTGATTGAAAAAGCCAATGCATCTTCTATTATTTAAAGCAAAATGACATGTTGAAGTGCCTGAGGTTTTAAACTGTAGTTAAAAGACCAATATTTTTTGTGGAATGTAGCTTGTATGTCCTCTGTGTACGGGGTTAAAAGAAAAAATCGAGTGGCCATGTTTGATAATCCATCAATTAGAGCATGTGTGTTGATGTGACTGAAAAAGGATGCTCTTCCCAGTCAGTACATTCTCTTACTGTTAAGCTGACCTGAATGTGTGGGTACAGCAGAAGCTGTTTTCACAGAACAGTGATAAAAGTAGATCGTCTTCACCATGCTGTATCTACCTTAATCTTGGCTTGTCTGTTCAGTAACTGCCTTGGCACAATAGCTGATAGTTGTCTGTCTTATGAAGGGTATAGTGAATACACTCTTCAAAAAACTGTGTGGCTGCACGGTTAAAACTTTGAAAATATTGTAGATGGAATTCAAATATTTGGAATTTAATTGTTAAGGTTTATCTTTGTAATTAGGTGTAGTGTTTGCAGATCTTTCAGCAGCAAAGGATCTGGAGGCATCTGACTACTGAATGAGGTTACTCTCTCACAACCCTGATAATGTGACTTTTTGTTTCCATGTGTGTAACACAATTGGATTCATGGATACAGGAAACTGAGGTGTTCTAGCTTGCCTTTTCCTCTAGTAGGCTTACAGCAGTCCATAATACTTCAGTGATGGCAGCATCACATCTAGCCCTGGTCATTGTTGGATTCAGCTGTCCATATGCATGAAAGCCTGGGCTAGAACATTTAGATTGCTGGTTTTAGGGCCTGTGTTTCTAAATGACTTAAACTTGAGAGCTGATGTGCTCAACTGAATGTCTGTGATAAGCTCTTCCTGTCATATGGTGACTGGGCCAGCATCCCAGTAATAGAAATTCAAAAACAGTTTCCTGTGTAGTTTTTATCTGTAAAGAACATGCAAGATGGAAAATTGTAATTTGAAAGTGCATGTCTGTCTTACCTGGAGACTCCAGATGTTACTGTCATCTCTAGTGGCTTGCATCCACTACATAGCTTCTGCTGTACTTTTTAGCATTGAATGGAAAGAATAATGTTATTCTTTTGACATTTGAAGTGACACATGCAAAAGATGCCAGATGCGTGCTTAAATGCAAGTAATCTGTTTTCTTCAGATACATTTTTTTGGGGTACTTTAGGAGTTATAGAAGATCAGAGTTCTGTTTGGATATGCTGATATTCTTATGTGTAGGCACATAAAAAGAAAACTACATTGTTACAGTTTTTCTTCTTGTTTGATGTGTTCTCAGGGGTTTTTTTGTCAGTTTTCCTTAGGTGCTATTTTATTCTCTCTGATTTTATCTAACCTTTGGGATTTTGCTAGCTAGCAGCCAGAATTGTTCAATGCCTCTGACTCGAAGGAGATGGTTCTGGTCATTCCTTGTGTGCCTCTTGGCTCGAGGCTCTTGTGTTTTCTTCAGTGTCTTTTGTGCTTAGTCTTGTGACAGGGCAAGTTGTATCATACTTGTGAGTGGCAAGTCAGATTTGATTAAAATTGATCATCTTATCTTTTAAATTTGTGCTTGAAGTTAATTTAAGCCCAGCATACCACTATAATTGTGTACTATTTTGATGTGTGCTGTAACAGTTCAGTCTTTGTGTTCAATTGATATTTTTCTACTTAAAATTAATTTGTTCTCTTTCAGCAGGTATAAGCCTTTGTTTCAACCCATACCTTCAATGATAATCTAATATGTTAGTGCAGCAAGCTTTTAAAACTATTTCTGGTGCCAAGCAGAAGTGATGCTGATGTCAACAGAATCTCCCACATCTGATGACCACACCATTCTTCAGGGATTCCCTGAATGTGAACCCTTTTGACTGTAATTGCAATACCTTCACTCCATTTCATACCTAATCATCATCATCCATCTAATATCTTACGTATGTTCCTTCACCATACTTACATCACCTTCTTCTTCCTTAAAAAATAAATTTATTTTGTCGCTGTACACCTGTATATTGTTGTAAAAATTGTTTTTAATAGTGAGGAATTGATACTTAAAGCAAATGCCTTGTTAGTGACAAAAAATTATTTGAGTCGCAAACCAAATTATACTTAAGATGCAGTGGGCACTTTCCCAGAGGACTTACCTGAAGAAGTAATTCTCATATAAAACAGGCATAGTGCCTTTTTATACTGTTTGTGTTCCTTTAAAAGATGGGAGTCAGATGTTGCAGGCAGATAAAAAGTGGCATTTCATACAGAGGATGTTCTAACAGTATAGTACAAGAGCTACAGATACTTATTTTTCAGTCCTTATTTTCAGCTGCCCAGAAGGGGCATAAGGCTTGCAGTGAACTTTCTTTCACTGTGAAAATACATGTAAGATGGTGGTTAAATAAGGAATTCTCCTTCAGAGCTGGATAAAACTCAGTTACATGGGCTTGTATCCCACTGGGAAACTGCTGAACTAATTGGGAAAAGCCTGTCAGAAGAGAACTGTGTAGCAAACAGGAAGCTTGTTATTCTTCCAGCTGAGTCCTCCTGCTGTGTGAAGTAACTTAAGAAATTAAACAGCTAACATATTTTATATACTGTATTGAGCAGGAGAAATAGGACAATTTTCTGATACTGCATATCTATAAAATGAAAATGTTGGGATTTCTGTCCTTTACTAAATTAAACAGGTCAAAGTAATGGTGTTTCAACAGATTTTATTTTTTTATTATTTCTCTGTCCCTTAATGGATATTTTAATTTTTAAATGGTGGTGTAGCATTTGGAGAGAAACAGACCCTTCAGTAATTCTGATATTATATTTAGACACAAGAGGCATTAATTAGCCAAAATATAGAATAAAGGCTACACATTGGGGATTTTCCCAAAGATGAGTGTTTGCTTTGTGAAAGGTCATCACACCAGCACTGCCAGGTTATAGACACTTGTCACACAGCTGTGTATTCATTGCACTGGAAATAGCTGCTTCACTGATACCTTAAGTTTGTGAGTTACTCAAGGAAGAATACTCTAAAGGTCCCATTGATGTGTAGGGTGTGAAGATGATGACTTTTTGTGAATGCAAAAAATGAGCAAGACTGATTGACAGTCAGTCTTCTGTAAAATTTTTGGTTTGTTACAGTACTGTGGAAATTCTGGCAAATCACATCCTCCTTCAGGGCTTTTTTAAAGTATAAAATGACTTAAGGTTTTTCTTGGAAGTTTTATTTTCCTGCTAGCCCAGTATACTAGGATCCTGAAGATTAAAATAGTGATTTGGCCAGATTCCATGCCGATTTAAACTCTTAAGCAGAATATTGGCAAATTTTTTTGGTCTTCAGTTAACCTATCTACCCCTAGGAAGTAATACCTATTAATTTCCTAGAAAATGTGCTTTAGGGTTTTTCTGAATAGGGTACCTTGGTATGGATTCTCTCTTGCAATTAACAAATTGAAGTGAAGCCCCAATGATGAACACAGAAGCAAGTCACAGGTGCAAGATGGTGATAAAATTAATTTGTATTTGAAATTCGAGCCTCGTCTCATATTTCATGTTATGTATGAGATCAATATGTCAAGTATTTCATGTTATGTATGAGATCAATATTTATAATTGTTAGATATGTAATAAATTTCAGATAAGAGGACATCTTAGATTTGATTTGATCTATAGAATGGTCTTAACAATTTTCATCTGTTGAAGCATCTATTCATTTACTAACAATTGATAAACTGTTATAAATGAAATCCTAATATGGCTGCAATATGTTTATGGTGAAGGAACATGCCTTATGAAAACTTCAATTTCTGCACATGACAAAAGGTGAAGGACATTGTTCCTTAGTCATTGGTGCAAAATGAATTTTGCTGTTGAAGAACTTTGGGCATTGACTATCACTTCACGTTCAGCAATTAAAACTGATTTTAAAAGTTTGCTGTGCTGCTGTTATGAATGAAGGTTACAGATTTCATAAACTGTTCTTCATTTGAAACTTGAAGTCTTCTTTTGGTTGAAAATCCAGATAACTTCCACAAAGTTCTAAATTTTACATATCATATTGATTATGCAACATTTTTCTTCCTTCTGTGGGTGTTGAGTGCTTGATGTTTACAGGTAAGTATATGAATGGCTAGCTAGCCTGAGAAGAAATTTGTAAATCATTACCCAAGCATTGCATACATCAAGCTGTTTGTTTTGTTCCCTGGAAGATTATATGATATAAAGGATAATGTTTCTGAAGAGTGTTTCAATGTTGCAAACTTGCATAATTATATTGAAAATATTATATCAGCCTACTACTTGGGTTGCCTTAATTGAAGAAATCATATTTAGGGAAAAAACTAGGTAGTTCTTTGCGTCATCATGGAGTAGGAAAAGCCCATATATTGTAAATCCATGTGGAATAAAAATGGGATTTAAAAAACACCCCACAATTTAGCTTAGTGGCTATGGCAATTATCTGCTGTGCTTAGGATGACATATTTGTTCAGCAGTTGAGATGTTGCATATTCACTACTGCATAACTACTACCACTGACAACATAACCTGTCAAAATCTTTTCCAGACGATGTGTCCTGTCTGTTTGGACCGCCTGAAGAACATGATCTTTCTGTGTGGCCACGGGACGTGTCAGCTCTGTGGAGACCGAATGAGCGAGTGCCCCATATGCCGCAAGGCAATTGAACGGAGGATCCTTTTGTACTAAACAAGGGCTGGGGTTTTTTACTAGCTTGTGAAAGAGCAAGGACGTGGTGATGAGTTTAAACCTCTGTTAGTTTGAAAGGTAGCAAAGGGTTCTGATGAAAACATTTCTAATACTGTAGCACAGGTTTGTTACATAGTAATTGTTTAAAGACTGTGGACACGCCAAACAAAACAGTATTTGAACAGTCAGCTTGTAGCGTTACTCTTAAAAAACATCTAAGCCTGATGCTAATTTAAAGCAGTCCTTTTTTTCATTTTGTTTCTGTCTTCTTCCCCTTAAAGGGACAATCTTCTTTTGTTTTTGTTCATGTGTATCATGTATGTATCAGATGTCAAGTGATGTAAGGGAATTTTTTTTATATTGTCAGTTACTACCAAACATAAATATTTAGGTTTTTTGGGGTTTTTTTGCTTTGTGCTTTTCTAGAGAGTGACATTTCCTGTGACAGTTCTGATTCACAATGAATTTCTGTCTTGAAATACACAGTCATGAAAAATCAATACAAAATCTATATGCAGTAATAATAGATATACTATTCCCATAAGATCATGCCACAGAATGCAATGGTAGGGTAATTCTGACTTCATCATGCCCTTTGTTCTGAAGATGGGCTGTGTAGGAAACAATAAAAAGAAAAATCTGTTTTAGAAGCATTATGTTTCCAAAACTGCACTTTTAGCTAACAGGTTCAAGCTAAATAACTTCAATAGCGAGCTTCATAATTCTGCTAATTACGTGACTTTGTATGGAATTGCTTTTAGCTTGAGTGGAAAGGAGAACATTTGAGCTGTGGGTCAGTTATCCCTTTTAGATGAGTGAATTTGATCCATTGTGTAGAAACACATACATGCAGAGCCGTTTAAAAATTGTGGGTCTTTGAATTTGGAAAAAAGATTTTGCAAAATTTCCTCTTTTTTAAAGAGAGTTTTATTGTCTCCAGGCAAACAGTGTCAACAGCAAAAGACAATATTTAATATTGATTATTCATCTAAGTGGGGTGTTAGCACCAGAATTATCTGTGAGCATTACTGAATAATACTGCAAATGAAGATATTGCTGACAAAACAGTGAATTTTGTGAGCTGTGCCCAGTTCAGCTGAATTTTGGTGGAATTTTTTGTCCCTGTCATGATAAAGAGCTGTTCCTCCTGACCCCCAAAATGCTACTGTTAGAGACTGCGGACTATTAACATTTTGAAAACAAATATATCCTTTCATCCTTTTTGGTGATAGAAAATACACTGATTTAAGGATCTCTTGTAGCTAAAACGAATCTGCTTGAAAAATTAGCCGATTTTTAATTTTAATTTTAATTTAGAAATTAGATTTGTTGATTACTAAATTAATTACTAATTAATTAGTAATTAATTACAAATAAGTTAATTACTAATTAATTTAGAAATTAGCTTGCTCCTAAGTGATTGGACAGTCTTCTGAGTGCATAGTTCATGTAGCCATTGCATTGTGCAGACTTCATTTGGATGTGCTCTTGCAAAGCATTAAAGAAATCCATGCTGGAGTCACTTAGGTGCCTTACTTGCAGCTAAGATGAATTTATCATTGAATTCTCATTGCATATGTCTAAAACGTGGACAAAAGAATAGTTCAGGGAAAGATCCAAGTAAGGATAATGTTATAATTGTGGTCTTTGCAGATAAATCAATCTGTCTTCTGAAACTTATATTGATATGCCTGAACTGTGCAAATGTTGGCAAATGTCTCAGAAGACTGTTACTAATAAACTGTAAAGATAGACAAACCTTTAAGCAATAAGATTTAAACACTGAATAAAGTTTTCCAGGAAACAAGTCCAGTGATATATTGGAAAAGTGTATGTAGAGGGGCTTTTAACACCATGAGGTGTTGTAATACACAGCCTTACAATAGCCATCTTTAATCCTCATCCTGCATTCCAAATGTTCCTCATTATTTTCAGTGTTCTTTCATTGGACACAATCACAATCTGGAGTCACTATAGTAGTCTGGTTTATTTTGTGTACTAGTGGTTATCTGTTCTCAGATAATCTTCATCTGTATTCTTGACCAAATGAAGCAGGCTTCGCTTTTTTTGCTTCTTGATTCCTATTCTAAAATATCAAAATTTCAAGGTTTTGGAAAATTTTTGATGTGAGGCCTTTTTTCAGTTCAGCATTTTGGTATCTCCACTTGAACTCTGCGTGCATCTGAGTGTTCATTGCAGTTTTCATTTGGACAATATGCTCATTACTAAGGTTTTTGGTTTGGTTTTTTTGTTGTTTGGGTTTTTTTTTTGGGTGGGGGGGGAGCATGTTTTACAGCTGAACTTTCTATAGTGGGCTTCAGTTTCTTGTCAGGCTTCCGCTGGAAATACTTCTATAATAGGATGTGCCCTTTGATGATCCATTCTGAGTTTTAGCCTGTCGTGCATCAGATTTGTACCTTGATTTCCTCTGTCTCTGGCAGACATATTTTGTCCTCTTAATTCTTTAAGGGAACCTCTGCAAACTTGGCTGTGCAGATGCAGGGTGGATCTCTTCTTGATAACGCAACTCAAAACTGAAACCTCAGTATAGCAGTTTGCATTTGACTGATTCTTTGTTGCTACAACAAGGCAGAATTACTTGAAAGTATTCCAGCTTAGCATCAGTTGAATATTCAGCTGAGTTAGAACAGATCTGAGGCATCCTGGGTAGGAAACTGGATGTAAGATGTAGGTTACTGTTTAACACCCTCAGTGCTTGAATACCATCACAGTCCTATGGAAATGGAGACAGTGACTGAAGGTATTGCTGTAGGAGCAGCTTTAGTGTCCTATACTGCACTCACAGCAGAGGACTGTGACTGCATAGGAGTTTGTGATTGGACTCATTCAGCAGTGTTGTGCGCCACTTGAAACTGAACTGTGTCAGCTTGATGGTGATACAGAAAAACAACTATTTTGGTGCCAAGAAAAACAACTGAATTGGAAAAACTAGGAAAGCTAACCAAGATGCTTAAATTATTTCTATAGGTCTCTTATTGACAGGAGGAAGAGCTGTGTCTTGTCTGGAGATGGCGATACAGTTTGCCTTTCAAAAAACTTAATGAGGAAAAATGCTTGCAAGTCTGGTATCATTTGTGGAAATAAATATTTATATTCAGACACTCTTTTCATTCAGATGTAGAAGATGAGCTAGTGTTGTTGAGGATCCCAGTAAGCTCATTCACTTTTATTTTGTCTTACTTTGTGGTTATCTGTGCGCTGTGCACAGAGTGCGAATGTTTAATTGGATAGCACATTTTTGAAGGATGAGAAGTTCACTTGAAAGCCAAAGGGTATCATAACAAGTAGTAGAGTTAAGGAAATACCACTCTGCATCTGTCTTCAGTAAAATATTGAAGTCTAAATTTCACCTGAGCAAAGTGAAAATTAGAAAAATCAGTTAGGCATTTATCTCTTAATTTATTTTAAAATCGTAGGATGTAAGGGTTGTAGGGTTTGTTATGTCTATTCCCCAGCATTTAATAACAATTTTGAAATTAAATGGAATACAATATCTCCGTTTGTTACTTGAAACAAGTAACAAGACACCTAAAAATATATATTGTTCAGTGTGAGGTATGCTCAGATGTTTAAGTAAAATACTTTCTTTTCCATTCATTAAGGGACATAAACAGTCATATCACTATGCAGTGATTTAAAGTGTAAAGGCAACCTAAGAGGTTAACAGAATAAACTTAATAGTTGTAGATTGTTAACTTTTGCATAACTACCTTTGACTATTTTTTTTTCCCCTCAAAACTTGTATCATCTCTTACTGTGGCCCAAGCTTATATGGCACTTGTCAAAATCTGGGCTGCTATTGCCTACTTTCCATTTGTTGGATTACTGTGTGCATTGGGGTTTGGAGAAATCCCTTTTTCCTGAAGTGGATAATAAAAACTACACTGGTGGGATAATAAACAAGTTCCTTTGTAAATGTGAAAGTTTGATTAGAAGGTGGCGTTCTTAACTTGGACTGGGTGAGGATATAGCAGATTTGCACAAGTACTTGTGCCTTGTTAGCATAATCTTATCATTGGTATTTTAGCTTCTTTTAAAGACCTGAAGTGGTCTTTTAAAAATAATTAAGTACTTATTGTGTAGATATTTTCTAGAGATGAAGGTATGTGTAATTATCTTTAGCAGTATTAATTGCAGTTAATGTAAACATGAATTTGTTTGAAGAAGCTACTTTCAGCTAGTGATCTGAGCTTCCTCTACAAAACTAATTGTCAGAAATTTAATTTTACTCTTCCAGTAGCAGCTGGTGAACCGAAGAGCCTATCCTGTTTTTTGTGCTGCATGGGTCAAGTTTTCACTTAAAAAACCAAACCCCAACAACACTACAGTCTAACCTTTAGCAGTGCTACCTCCTTTTTTGTCAAAGTGCTGAATTCTTCTCTAGCTGTTTGATGTCTTTGGGAAAGGGTGAGGAATGCATCAGTTTTCTTTTGCTTCATCAGTTTTGTTGTCTGAATATACATTGCAGAGGTTTTTTTATTTTATAAAATGACTGTGTAAATTTAGTAAAATAGTGTGTGATTTGCCACAAAGTACATTGTATACCTGTGCATTAGTTGCTGGAATTCATACTGTTGTCTTTGTGCATTTTATACTTTGTTTGTGTTGACAAAGCTAAACTGTTGTCTGCAGAAGCTTTAGTATGTGCCATTTTTATAGCTAAGCCTGTGGTAAATACGCAAGTTCTGACTCAGGGCTTTTTAACAACTTAAACACATTCACAATATTCTTCAGCACATCTTGGAGAATACTAGAGATTTAATGACTGTACAGTGCCTTGATAGAACTATTGAATGGGCAGCAGCCATAGGGTCTTCACAAGAATGCAAGTATCTTTTCAATCCAGTTAATGATTTGACATTAATATAGTTGTAATGCCCTTGCCATGAATTTATAAACTTGTATATATTTTCTGTAAAGGAAAATTGGCAAATTTAGATATTGTTAAGCTTTCTGAAAGCTGTTTAATTGTTGCACTGGTCATGAGGATCTGAAGGGCATAATATTCAAATTTACAGAAGCAGCTTTTGTGTCAAAGACACCTGAGAAAATTTTCTGTATGTGACATTTTTAGTGTGAGGGAGAGGTCATTGTATAACATGTAAAAGTACCTGCTTTACTCTGATCTACTAAATCTTCTGTAAGTGAGAGAGAAATAACCAACAACAAATCAGTATGTTTGCATGCCATTTCATAGTTAGAAACTTTGTGTCATTTTGAGCTTCTAGGAAATAATTAATTTGTCTCAACCTTACTGTCTTTATGAATTCAATCTATTCATGTTAGAAGGCAGGTTTTACTGAATCACAACAAACCTTTTTGCTTTTGTTAAAACTTTGTATTTTCTGTAAACTGTAGATTTTGACATGACTGTTTATTGGAGAAATTTAAGGTTTCCTATGTGAATGTAGTGTATTTCTGTATGCAGATAGCATTATATAATTGCTTACGTTAAAACTGCTTAGCAAGGTCTAAGCTTTTCAAAGGAAATGCTGATGTACTGTATGGTTAGTAAAACTTGTCATATAAGATGTATACTGACTTTTTCAAGAGCTTTGATTTAAAAGTATAGTTGGACTGAATTAATACTGATTTTTTGCACACAACATTGGAAAAGGGGTGGTGGCTCATTTGTCTTCCTCCTTCTTAGTTGTAATGATGTTAGATGTCACCATGGAATTTGAAAATTGGATGCCTGAAAAAGTATTTGCAAACATGGTTACTTGTTGGCATGCAATGTTTAAAAGAGCACCAGACTTTATTGAGAAATTTTGCAGTCCAAAGTTCTTAAAAAACCTGGTTCTTTTATGATATGTTCCTGAAGAATGAATTTGTGGAAGTATCGGAAGTGCTACGTGCCTTTGAATCTCCAAGGTACTCAAACATTGTTAAAGCAGCATGGTAGAAGTTTGAAGGGTGGATTATGTTGTAACAACAGAAAGGTTGATTTAAAATTATCTCTGGATTATGTGCAAATTTTTCTGTAAATATGCAGTTCATAGTACTGTTCTACTGACCCAAGTTGCTGTTAAGTGTTTGTTAGACTCTGTGTTTACTTGTAATTGAATGGCCTTTACCGATCTGGCTATGTGAATGTGATCGTTTAAACATCTCCTGCCAGATACAGTAACTTCCATATTCTGAGACAACAGATGCTGCATCATGGTTTGTACTTTTAGGATTCAATTTAATGGATGAATTTGTAAAAAAAAAAAAAAAAAAATCTATGTAATCAACGACGACAAAACCAACCAGATTTACACGGCTTAGTGTTTTTATTTGTCCTAGTGTACAGGTGAAAAGAGGAACTGACAGAATAAAAAGTTTGTTGCTCTCTTTCTCAGTTTCTTTTCATTTTTCAAGTTTCTTCAGCCTTGGTTTATATGACAGGTCTGTATGAAAACAGATGCTTTCAAATACTTTTGAAAAAAAATTATTTTGAAATAATTTACGCAAATTGTTGAAATTCATTTGAAGTAGCCTCTTGTTCTTTGCTTTGGGATTTATGAGCTGTTCACATATTTCTCCTTACATGTTCATGGGACATGATGGAAACAGTGCTGGCATTGATTGAAGACTTCATCTCTGTGGTCTCAAGGGCTTCAGCCCCTGCTGTTCATTGTAGTGGAAGCTTCCAGTTTTGCTAGTGGTTGGTATTGATGGGTTTAGATTTTGAGAAGGCTATTTCCTACTATACAATATAAATTATTATAATAATTTTATAAGTACTATGTAATGCAATTAAGTTGTTTGTAGTGCACTTTGCTGTTGTAAGTCATTCCAGCTATCTGGAATAAATGTATATCCCCATATACAGCCATCTGTTTCTGATGGAAGTGGTGAAAGTGCATGGAGATTTCCTTTGGATTTGACACTAATTAAATGTGGAGTTCTTCATGGGTGTACTCTGTTTCATTTAGGTAGTAAAGATTAGTGGTAGTATTGGAATAAAAAACCATTAACTTTCCTTTTCACAGTTGGTTTTCTACCATAAAGAAAAGAAATATAAGTTGTCAGAAAAAAAATTGTTGAAGTTCTTGTGCTTTGTGCAGCCCTGCTCAAAGCCCTGATGTTGACATGCATTGGAAAACTTGCTTTCAAGAATGAATCATACCAACTTTTCTTGATTCTTAAGGTTTTGGCTGAAAAAAAACTTCAGGGTTTTAAATGGCTTGGTCCCGTTTCAGCAGAGTAGTATGTCCTTGCCTTCCAGGAGATAGTAAGGTAGAAGTCTTTGCAGTCTTTAGAAGTGATGCTCTGATGGATTAAAATAGTTTATATTAAAAACTGAGAACTCTGCCAACTGGCAGTGTATAAATTTTAGTCTTCAACAGTGCAAGACTTTAAGTTATGGGAAAGTCATTGCAGTATCTACTACAGTTAGAATTTATTGACACTTATGTGACTGCCCTAGAGAAGCTAATAAACCTCATTTCTAAAATTTTTAAAATACACTTATGAGACTGTAGTGACCTCTTGCAACACTAACACTGTTTCACTGAATTTTCCTTAGAAATAAATCTGTGGGAGGTAAGGAGACAAACTTAACTCTGAGCTGGTTTCCCCACTAACGTGTCTGCATCCTAAAATGTGTGAGTATTTCTCCCACAAGGGGTCAGTAGCACCCTCCATTTGGCACCACTTTTTATTACTTATAAGCAGAAAGCAAACAAGGGATAAGGATAATGATGATTGCATTAATATGTGGGTGGACCAGACCTAACTTGTCTCCTTCTTCAAGCAGGCTAAGTATAATTAGGTTATTTGCTGACTTCAGTAAGCACCATATTCTATCCTCTGACTCTCATGTGACATGAACATTGCTACTATTGATTAGGGCAAAGTTCCAGTGGAGTGTTTGCCTTTAGCTCTAGTTGAAAGTATTCATTTAGTCAAGCTTTTTTTCAAAAGCATGCAGTTGGAGCAGATAAACTGTATGAAAGAGCTTGTCCAGCAGGCAGGGGAAAAGAATTCTTGTATGAGAGCCCCACATATTCTTAATGATAACCGCAGTCTCCCTAGATGGCTAGAGCTGATTAATATTTTCCACTCTATAGTAACACAGCTTATAGTTAAATATGCTTTGAAGCCTATCAAGCTGCTCAGTGGAAGGAATGTCCAGCTTCTCAAGGCTTCCCTGAGTATGCAAGTTACTTGAAGGCCAGAAGTTTGAAGTTGAAGTAACTCATAATCTTTCTCCCAAGAGGCTGAACAGACCAGAGAGCTATTCCTTCAACAAAAGTTTCCATCCCCTGTAGCAAAGTCATGTTTCACAAATAGGAATCTTGAGATGCTCAATGTCATTCAGGAACAGGTTCTTATGTGTGTTGAATTTAACAAGGGACCTTCCTTACCTTTGTGTTTGCAACTCTTATGTTATTCTGTCACATCTCTTGTGAGGTTTGTATTTCATGTCCTCAGTGCTTCTGTCCCTGCTACTAAAATCCTCCATTTCAATTCTTTCTTTGTCTATTTTTGACAGCAGAACAAACAGTCCCTTCCTTCTTGCTATATCCCTTCTGAGTATCCTAATTTTTATTTTACACTTAAGGTTGGCATAAGCGTAGTGAAGCCCTGTCCTTGTAGCAGAACAGACAGTCCCTTCCTTCTTGCTATAACCCTTCTGAGTATCCTAATGTTTTATTTTACACTTAAGGTTGGCATAAGCGTAGTGAAGCCCTGTCCTTGTGTCCCTAACTCCATGTGAAATTCTGTATTGACAGGAAGAATTATTGAATTTGGTCTGGGCATAATTTCACATTAATTTATTGACATCTGTTATTTCTCCCCATTGGTGGCATAAGAAAAAAAAAAATTGTCTACCACCTGAGGAAAGGATAGGGCCACTTCTGATCTCAACCATATGAGGAAATTCAGAAACCAAGTAAATGTTTCAAGGTTGTTTGGCTTCGGTGATGTCTTTTTGTCCTATAGGCCACCTGTAATTTTCGTTCTTACTGTATCCTGGGTTCGATTTTTGGTGGCAGCCTAAGGGTTTATTTTCCAAGAAACTTAAAAGCAACTAGGAGAGAAGCTTCCATCTAGAGTGTCTTGTGCACTTATGTTGCCTGGAGGAAGTTCAGCAGGCAACATAAGTGCACAAGCAGGAAGCTTGCAAAGAGAAGGGGTCTGGTTTTGGACTTGCCTCCATAAATAATTAGGGAAAGAATTACATCTCTTTGAATAAAGTAAATCTGAAACAACGTTCCAAATATTTCTTTTCTGCTAAGATTTCATAATCCCTACTGTGTATATACTTTACAGTTGTAAGGTAGCATGAGGTTCTGTATGAAAGCTATATAAACTAAATGCCAATTATATAGCATTCATTTCCCAATGGCCTTAAATTGTTGGCTTTGAAATACAATACTATTATTCCTTCTCTTTTTTTTTCTGTGATGACACCTGTAAAATAAAGATTACTTCTGGTCTATCCAGATGAGGCGGCTTTTCCTAACACAGAACCCTAGTTAAGCTGTTTGTGGTACAGCCATACAACATGTTCAAGTTTTTTGTCTTTTTCTGATTTATAGCACATGGCACTTAAAGCACCTAATTTAGATTTATATTGGGTTTTGGTCAAGTGATTCTGATTCTGTGTAAAGCTGAGGAAGTCTTCATATTGTTGTCCTCTGAAATTGCATTCTCCCACCATTTCATGTAGAGGATATAGAGCCTGGAAGCACCATACTTTTTTGTTGAGATAGAAAAGTGTGCTAGAGTAAGGGTATAGGGAAACTTAAAGCTAAAATACAGTCATAGACCTAGTTCTTTTGAGAAACTCAGATGGCAAATTTGACAGAGAGAGAAGTGGTCTACTAAATTTGAGTTTTAAATTCCTCTGTACCCTCTCTGGAGAGCCTGTAACATGGATGTCCTGCATGTCCCACCACCCTGGATAGGTCCCTCCACACCAAATCTCCCTGGAGGAATATGTCTGATAATTATAATGAAACTATTCCACCCATGGAGAAGGAAGGCATGGGAGTTACAAGCCAGTCCCTGGTGCAAAAGCTGTGGATTCGCTGTTTTATTTAACACAGCTCTCTTCCCACACTGCACACTGAGAATGTAAAGGAGTAAGTGATCTTGACTTGGATTTTCTGTGTGCTGTGGCTGTCTGCACCCAGGCAGGAGCATAAAGGAGCTGCTGCAAATGAGCTGCTCAGTAATGAGTTGTGTGAGGTGCTTGCCCTGCAGCAGGCAGAAGTTGGGAGCCACTTACACTTTTAAAGTGCTGCAGCCAAGTAGGCTTGAGTGGGCCAAGCCCTCTGGGCATCTACTTATCCTGAGCTGACATTACTTTATTGGTAAGTGGCATGGGAATGAAATAGATTTGAAAAGCATATCTTCATTACCAAGATTGGGATACCAGACATTTAATTTCAGGCTTTATCTGCTGTGCTGAATCAAATGGTGACACCAAGATTTGTCAAGCAGTTGTTGAGCACTCCAGGTTAGTCACTGGCTTTTGTAGGAGTTTCTCAACTTTGAGGACATAGTCAAATAGTCCTCAGGAAAGGAAAGAAACCCAACTAGCTAGCAAGAGTGTTTCAGAAGTAAGTTTTGGGTTTTTTTTTTTTTTTGTTGGTTGGGTTTTTGTTTTGGGGGGGTTTTTTTTTTTTTTTTTTTTTTTTTGTTTTGTTTTTTTTTGGGTTTTTGGGGGTTTTTTTTTTGGTTTTTTGGGTTTGTGGGTTTTTTTGGTTTTTTTTTGTTCTCACCCTCTACTGGATGGCGACTGTGCCTGGTTTTTCATTTTTCTTGCCAATTTTCATTTAGCCAGAAATGCTGCCATAACCACTACTTGACATCTGGACTTGCCAAAATCAAACTTATATCCTATATGTCTGTTCCAGCTATTCCTGACCATCATATGACCTCTCCCCAGAACAACCTTCCAAGGGTGTGATTGTGTGTTTGTAGGGTTATAGGAGAGCTAGGGTTATCCTCTGTGGCTTTCCAGGACAAGGAAAGGAATTAAATGTTGATTTGGTCTGATCTTTTTCTTTCTGACCATCTTCAGTTATCAAATGTTGAGATGCCCTTTTTTCATGTGGCATTTAATTTTGAGAGGAAATCAATGAGGGCATAATTGCTGTGCTTGGATTTCTTGGATTTGGTCTGTCCTTTCCTACAAAAATTAGGCCTGTTGGCCTAAGATTGGTTGTTTTATGAAGTACAGATTTAAACACTAAGCTAGCCAGCACTGCTCATAGGAATATTGATAGAGATGGGCTGGAGCTGGCAGGTTTTTCTAGGGAAGATAAGGAAGGGCTTAGCACATCCTAGGTTAAGCTCCTCCCTGTCACAGCTGAATGCTAAATGCTGTGTGACCTGCAGTGT